AGCACAGTCACCCCCGACGGACGGAGGACAGACAGACTCAGACTCAGCAACGAGACTAGCGGCGTAGTCTAGACGACAGCGAGCAGCAAAGTCGACAAGCTCAGCAACTAAGGCAGACGCAGCAGTGGACTCAAAGGAAGGGTCAGTGACAACAGTGGCCAGGAGACGCGTGACAGTAGGACTGGCAGCACGAAGAGAGTCAGACTCCGGGTCAGCAAGAACAGGAAGAGAGGACTCTGGAGGAGACGGCAACGGGACACGCAGAGGAGCAGTGGAAGGACGCAGTGCCATCTGGTGTGTGCCTGGGACCGCAGGAGGACGCGGACGCGGAGCACGACCACTAGTGCGAGCAGCACGAACAGGCGACGCAGGACAAGACGCAGGCTCACGACGCTCAGCAAGACCTCCAGTAGGACCAGTGTAGGGAGAAAGAGCAGGCAGGGGGGAGGCGGGCTGTAACTGTAACTCGGACTGGACAGGCTGTGGACACTCTAAGGGAGGAGCAGGACCAGTAGAGGGCGGGAGACCAAGAACCTGCTCAAGGAGCGGAACGAAGTACGGCCGCGGCCGCGCAGCGCCTCCAGAACCAGCAGGGACAGCACCAGTACCCCCAGCGGCAGCACCAGCACCAACAGCACCTCCAGCTCTAACAGCGCCAACTCCAGCACCCTCAGAAGTACCAGCGCCAGCAGCACCTCCAGCGCCAACACCCCCAGCAGCTCCAGCTCCAGCAGCTCCAGCAGCACCAACTCCAGCAGGGTCGCCTGCCCCAGGACCGCCAGCAGCTCCAGTACCGCCAGTACGAGCACCTCCAGGACCAGCAGCAACAGTAGCACCTCCAGCTCCAGCAGCACGGCTCCAGCGCCGGCCAAACCACTCGCGCAGCTCCTGCGGAGAGAGTAGCTCCCGCCTCGACGAAGCACCGCCAGAGGTCACACGAGCAGACCCAGCACCCCCAGGCTCCGCACCCCCAGGCTTAGCACCCCCAGGCTCCGCATCCCCAGGCTTAGCACCCCCATGCTCCGCACCCCTAGGCTCAGCACCCCCAGACTCAGCACCCCCAGGCTCAGCACCCCTAGACTCAGCACCCCCAGGCTCCGCACCCCCAGGCTCAGCACCCCCAGCAGCACCAGAGTCAACAGCTACCTCGACAGGCTCGACTGCGTCTACCTGGGACACACCTGACGGGGCAGGACCTTGAGGGGGGAGAGGGTCTACCGGGGGGGGACCTGGCGCAAGGAAGAGCGGCGGCGGGGGGAGGGGCGCAGTGCGGTAGGGGAAGAGACGGTAGTAAGGCACCGACTCGTCAAAGGTGACGTCCTGGGAGGACAGAACACGGCGCGAGGTGGGGTGGTAAAACTGCCACCCAGGCGCATCAGGGGGGAAGCCAAGGAAGACGCAGGGAACAGCACGGGGGGACAGCTTGTCCGTAGACAAGTCGCGGACAAACGCCCGAGATCCCCAGACCCGAAACGCAGACGCATCGCCAACCTTCCCCGTCCACCGCAAGGTGGGGGAGGTCTCTGGCAAGGAGACCCGGGGCTGAAGGTTGAGCTGATGCGCTGCGTACTGAACCGCAAACGGCCACAGAAAATGGGGGGCAGCCGCATGGATCATGGACATACGAGCGACGTCCATGACCATGCCAATGCGGCGCTCAGCAATCCCATTTTGCTGTGGAGAGGCCGGAAGCGTGAAGGTCTGGCGGATGCCCTGTGCACGACAGAAGGCTCCCAGACGGGCAGAGGAAAACTCCCCGCCTCTGTCAGAGTGTAGACGCAGAACAGGAAAGTCCGAGCCGAAACTCTCTCTGAGCTGGAGACGAGCTGCGCGGATCCAGTCGATCAACACCTCAGTGACGTCACCCTTGCTGCGCAAGGGGAACACCGTGGTGTAACGCGAGTAGTCGTCAACCACCAACAGGAAGTAACGCTCGTGACCCTGACCACGGACGCGGGCGGGGCCCCACACGTCCATGTGAAGAGTCTGCAGCGGAGCCTCTGTCGGAGGAAACTCGGAGGAGTGAGGGGCGGCTAGCTGCCGCCCCTCGACGCAGGGAACGCAGGTAGGGGCAGGCCCCGGAGGTAGGGGAGGGAGGGACCGGGGGAGACCAGAGACAAGGACACGGGAGGCCATGCCTCGGAGACGAGGCAGCGAGGGGTGACCAAGGCGGTGGTGCGAAAGGAGAGTCGGGTGGGACAGGAGACGACACGAGCAGGGGGCAGACTCAGGACCAGTCCTGGACGCTGCAGCAAACACCTGACTTGACGCAGCTACATGACCAGACTCAGCAACCGGAGGAGACTGAGTAGTCAGGGTGTACAGGCTCGACCCCGGCCGACAGGTAAACGTGACCAAGTGTCGGCCCGTCCGAGCACACGTACAGTGGGTCACCCGCTGACTCGCAGGAGTGAACTGGTCAACCCCCCTATCCTGTAGATTAGCTCCGCTCACCAAGTTCGTAGAGAACGAGGGGAGGTAGAGACCTGACAGGGTGCCAGAGGGGGCTGCCGGGCACGGTAAGACAGTGGAGAAGCTAGCAAGGACAGGACCCCCAGAGGGGTCCGCCAGGGAGACCGCAACTGGCCGACTAAGCGGCGTAAGCGTGGTGCGGTCTCGAAAGAAGGAGCGGGAAGCACCCGAGTCAAGGGTGAAGGTGTGTAAGGCCTGAGCCGACGTGGTACCTGAGAGAGCAGACTCACCAGCACCTGGGGCAGCAGACGCACTAGCACCTAGAGCAGCAAGGTCAGGGAACAGGTACGGCAGCATGAGGCGGCTGAGAGCAGCAGTGGCAGGGGAGGAGTAGCGTGCAACTACAGCGGCGTACAAGGTCTGAGCACTCTTGTACTGGCTAAAGTGCGCATGCTCAGTGGTCGGTAAGTGGCGACGCACAGCAAGACGGGCAGCAGCATCGCGTGTGGCCCACTGTGAGCGAACAGTGCTGTCAGCAGTAGCAGGCGGGGCAGGAGAGGCACCAGAGGTGAGATCGAACAGGGAGAGTCCGTCTGCCCTATCGCACTGGAGGAACAGCTGGAGGTCATCGACCCAGACCTCAAAGTCAAAAGCACGACCCTCAGCATCAAAGGTAAGGATACTGGGGGTAGCCATGATAGCAGTGGTCTAGCAGGGAGTGATCTCACCAGTCCGAGTGAGTAGGGCCGGGGCGCGCCGGTAGGAACAGTAGCGGCTCGACAGCGGCTCGGCGGTTCGGCGGCTCGGCTGTTGGGCGGCTCGGCTGCTGGGCGACTCGGCGGCTCGGTGGCTCGGTGGCTCGGCTGCTGGGCGGCTCGGCTGCTGGGCGGCTTGGCTGCTGGGCGGCTCGGCTGCTGGGCGGCTCGGCGGCGGGGCGGCTTGGCTGCTGAGCGGCTGAAGGGGGGGGCGAGAAGGGCGGCGACGGGGCCGCGAAGGGCGGTGACAGGGCCGCTAGGGGCGGCGACGGGGCCGCTAGGGGCGGCGAGGTGGCCGCGAAGGGCGGCGACGGGGCCGCTAGAGGCGGCGACGGGGCCGTGAAGGGGCCGCAAGGGGCCTAGAAGGGGCCGCGAGGGGCCTAGAGGGGCGGCGACGGGCCCAAGAGGGGCAGCGACGGGGCCGCGAAGGGGCCGCGAGGGGCCTAGAGGGGCGGCGACGGGGCCTAGAGGGGCGGCGACGGGGCCGCGAAAGGGCCGCGAGGGGCCTAGAGGGGCGGCGACGGGGCCTAGAGGGGCGGCGACGGGGCCGCGAAGGGGCCGCGAGGGGCCTAGAGGGGCGGCGACGGGGCCTAGAGGGGCGGCGACGGGGCCGCGAAGGGGCCGCGAGGGGCCTAGAGGGGCGGCGACGGGGCCTAGAGGGGCGGCGACGGGGCCGCGAAGGGGCCGCGAGGGGCCTCGAGGGGCGGCGACGGGGCCGCAAAGGACGGCGACGGGGCCGCTAAGGGTGGCGCGAGGGGCCTCTAGGAGGGCGCAAAGTGAGGGCGGCCTACGGGGCGCGCCTCGGGCAGGAAAAAAAAGATCGAGTTAGGTGGTGGGCCCTGAGAAGCGTTCCCACGAGGGAACCTGCTCTATACCATGTGAAGAATGAGGAATGGAATGAACTAGCAAGCAGGTGGGTACAAGTAGGAAAACCTAGAAATGTTGTACCCCATATAGTCTACCCCACTACAGCCTACACAGACTATAGCATATAAGTTTGACAGCAAAATCTGAACTCTTTTCAAAGGGCCTAGAACAGAATCTTAAACAACGTAGCCTAGCTAATGTCATCCTTTTACACGGCTAGAATACGAGATTACTAGAACTAAGTCTACCTCGTAGTCATCTAAATGCATCCAGAGCTTAGGGAGATAAGAGAACCCAGGCACTCATGCTTCTCACCTTGCTGGTAGGTGGAATGCTAGGTGGAGCGTGACCAGCGATGGAAAAAAAGGACCAACAAACCCAGTGAGCAATCCGTCACGTCAGCATCGTTGGTTTGTAAAACGGCACGTAGAATGAATGCCTGTGGTAGCGCAGTAGGTATTGGTTGCATTCTGAAGCGAGAGGTCGTAGGTACGATTCTTGTCGAGAGGAGTTTTGCAATCATCAACCGGAGTTAGGGTACATTCCTGCGGGGACACTTGTGTCTCAAATCACTTTGTGACATCTAAAAACAGCATATACCGTGCCCTGTCACAAAAGCGGATCGCGCTTATGCGAGTCCCACTGTATTTTACATTGGTTGGCGTGAATTGCGCTTGTGTCGCGGACGAGTTACACGAGGCCCCGTCACATCCCGAAAATCGCACGCGTGTCGAAATCTCACACTGTACAGCATGCACCTGGACGCCCGAACTGGGCACGTTTCCGCGCGGGGAAGGAAACCGCTCTGCCCGAATCCCACACGGTCACATCCCTGCCCGAATGTTTGCCCATCGTTCCAACCACACTGACAGCACTCTTTCGCTCCAATCTGTTCTTCTTCTCCCAACCCGAGCTTCCTCTTTCTTGTTGCGAAGTCTAGCCAGGGTCTTCTTCCACGCTGTAGCCATGGCCCGTAAGCGCAAGAGCGTAGCTAGTTCTGTTGACTTGTGCCCGCGGGATCTCGACGAGATCCCGTACATCGCTTGGATGAACAAGCAAATCGCGGCCGGCCGCAAGCCCGCCGGCCCTTTGCCCGAAGGAGCGCCTGGTGCGGGGGACACCTCGTTCGAAGCCCCGCGCGATGTCCCTACCCGCGGACGCCGTCATGCCGACCGGGTTGCCTCATCCCGCGTCAACGACGATGCTGCCTTCGATGACGATGATGACGCCGCGGACTCTGATTACAACGAGTGCGACGAGGCCTGCAAAGACGACGCGGACTCTGGCGAGGAGCAGGACAAGGGCATGTCCCCCTCCGATGACGAAGTTGACGCCGACGAGGACGCCGATGACGCCGAGGACGCTCCCGAGGAGGCCCAGCCTGCGTCCCCGGCTCCTCGTCGCGGCCGTGCGTCTGCCGCTGCGGGAACCAAGACTGCTGCTAAGGGCGGGGAACCTCCGCGTGCCGCTGCCAAGACCCGTAACTTGCATCCTGTTAAGCGGAGCGTGTGGTCCCCCCGCGAGAACACAATCTTCGTGGCTGCGCGTTGGTTCATGAAGGACGAGCTCGGGCCCCTCCTCGTGAAGCAGGGCTCTCAGTACTGGGCCCGCCTCGCGCGTCACCTCGAGAAGGAGAATCCCGGGTGGGTGCGCGGTGTAAACGCGCTTCAGAAGCAGTGGCGCAATCTTGTCAACGTGTACACGCAGATCAAGAAGGGGGAAAAGGCGAGCGGCAAGGGTGCCGTGTTCAAGCCCCACTGGTACCCGTACATGGCGCTTTTCCAGAACAACAAGGCGGTGGGCAACCCTCACGCCGTCGACGGTGGCGGTGCGGCACACGTCAACGTGCCGTGCGGGTTCGCGGTCCCGTCCACTTCGGCGCCCTGCACCTCTACGCCGACATTCACTGGTATGTATGTGTTGCATCAACGGTGGCACTCGCGGGTTTGTTGAATGACACCTCTTGCCTAAACCCTTTTACGCACACATTGCATCATTAAAATGTTTAGGGTACATAACACATCGTCTATTGTTCGTGTGCATCCACCGTGTGTGCAGCTCCGCCGCCACAGGGAACTCCTACATCGAAGCGCCCACGTGTGGCAGAGACGGCGACGATGGCCGCTGCAAAGCTGGTGTGCGAGACGATCAAAGGCTGCCACTCAGACGCCATGAGCAGGCTCGAAGGCCTCGTCCGCGCGTGGATGGAGCAGGACGCGCATATTGCTCGGGAACGCGTGCAGCAGCCCGCACCCTCCCCGCATGTCCGCGACGACATCCCTGCCCACGCGGACAACATGACCGACTTGCACGCCGCCGAAGGCGGCGACGATGGCTGGCTTCGTCGCGGGCAGGCGGGCGAAGACCCCTCTAACCCAGATGCGGGTGAGGAGGTGTGGGTTCGCGGCGCCGCCGAGTGAGGTAAGACGACTCTAAAGCCTCGCCCAGCCGCTTGCGCCTTTCACGAAGATTCTCTTGCGTGCATGGGTCACATGGCTCCCACATGAACTCTGCTACCGCGCCACGAGTCCACCATGGGTCCCGGTTTCGGGGCAAGTTTGCCCACGATGCATTGACGCGCCTCACTGCGCCCATCGTTTCACACATGTTGTGCAGGATGACGCCACAAAACGCCCCTGCAAGAATGCGCCAGAGCTTGCAGTCATTGCGGCCCGCGAATAGATGCCACCGGCCTTTGAAGGCGCCGATGCAGCGCTCTACTGCCATGCGCGTTGCGCTTTGGCATTAGTTAAAGCACTGCTCCCAGTCCTCCATTAGGCCTTCACGGGGAGCATGTAGGGGGGTCAGGCAGAAGTCCCTGAGTGGGTAGGCAGCATCTCCCACTATTTGGTATGGCGCTATGTCGCCGTTGTGCAACCTTTCGTGTAACGCACTGTTCATGAACACTCTCTGATCGTGCGCACTGCCCGGGTATCCGATCAAATAGTCCCATATGATGCCTCGCGCGTCGCATGTGATCTGCAACTGGACGGCGTAACAGGACTTCCGCGTGTAGTACTCTTGCCTGTGCCCCTCCATCCCTTTCATGGGTATGTGTGTGCCGTCTATAGCCCCCACTACCGCAGGTACCCCCTTGATGGCGCGGAACTCTGCGGCCATCTCGTCGAGGTCGTCGCGGGTCGGGAAGTGGACCCACTGCTGCTTGAAGACGGACGGGAAATGCATGAGGAGCGCGTCAACAAGCATGTGGCACAGGGTCTTGGACAGCCCGAACACGGAGGACAAGTCTACGAAAGACATGCCACCTGCGAGGTATTTGATAGGTACAAGGCATGCCACTTCATGACTTATTAGGTACCTGTCCACGTACGGTTGCATGTAGTGCGTCATCCCGGCGACAATGTATTCGAGAATGCCACGGTTTATGCGAAACATATCTCTGAACTGATCCTCCCCCATGCCTTCCAGGTCCTCTAGCAGCAAGTTGTATCTCCGCCGGCGTAGCCCAGCCCTTCTTTTCCGCTCTGCGGTACGGTTGGAGGCGCGAGAGCTGGATGACGAGGACACCTCGTCATTGAAGACGTTCGCCTCCAGCAAGCCACCGACCGACTTGGCGATGTCGTCCATGAATATGCTGTAGTAGAACGTAACCCATGCGACAAGTAGTCGCATGAGGAATGGCACCTCGCGGGGCGATGCCATGGTTGCTAGACAGTGGTGCAGTTTAGCTCTGCGATGCTTGCGTTTTTGTACTTGGAGCTGTGGTTGTATACATGCTGTTGTCTGTGGGGTGGCCCAAATTGCAACTTTCATTTCTGTGGCAAGCCCACCGCGATACTCGAGGTGGTGCGATATGTTTAGCCCCCCTGCCCGGCGGGAAAACTGGGTGGGCACAATCCTATTGGTCGCAACCAATAGTACGCACCCACCTGGCTGTGCCCATCTGTCGCGCAGGGTCACGATACATTGGTTGTTTGTGACACAACATTTGGCAAATTTACAGGCGCGACTCGGGAAAACGGGGATTGAGACACAAGTGTCCCCGCAGGAATGTACCCTTACATTCTCCTATAAAAAGTTCGGTAACCATGCAAAACGAGGTCTATATGGAGTTGTATAATACTGGTTAGATATGCAAAATGCTTCGCAACCCTAGGACGACTTGTCGCCTCTTGTTTTTTTTTTTAACTAAGAGGGCGTTCCCACAGTTTCCCGACAAGAAAGTCTGCCCACGCGGCTCGCAATTTTGCCAATTTCGAGAAATTTGCCAACATGCGGCTCGAAGTTCGACCACCACGATTCCATCAAATTGGTCGTGCAAGTGTTCATCCACAGCCGTATACGATCTCATATGACGGCCCACGACCAGGGCCCAAAATTGGTTTTGGGCCACTCTTGCAAATCAGGGTTCCAAGCCCCCAGTACCCTGACCCCTAGGGTATTTTTTTCCGTACACTGATGGCACCAGCCTAAAATTTCAGGTACACTGTTTGTGTCAGGGTAAAATTGTTGATACACTGTTTGTAGTGTAAAAAAAGTTTTGTACGCTTCGATAACTACTGACTGCATCGAGCGGCAGCCCAGTATGTCTCAGCTTGTTGGATGTTTCGCAAGGAATCGAAAGGTCGCATGTTTAAATCCCGGCGGGGTTGATGATATTTTGTGGCTTCGTAAGGAAAATCCTCCCTACAGAGGATTCGATATCAGTGTAATGTGCAACGCAGCATGATACCGGGAGGGTAACCGAAATCGTTATCAGTGTATTCAAAACCTTACCCTTTTTTCACTAGGGTAAAAATTTCCATAGGCTGATTTGGCAAGGGTAACTGGGAAAAAGAGGCCGCTCATCAGGGCAAACAGGGTATTTTACCCTGATAATTTGGGCCCTGCCCATGACGCCTACCGAAATGGGCTACGACCCAACCACGTTTCTGTGTCATTGCCCGAAGTTTAGCTGACCGGTCTCTCAGTCAACGCCATTCAATAGCAGAAATTTTTCAGTGTGCCTCGGAATTTCTTGTTTTCGATTTTCTGGGCACCGTTTTACGCAGGAGTCAGAAATCCCAACCAAGTCGTTGAGTCCATCCGATTGTCAGATGTGAAGGCCTATTGGGTGCGACTATATTCTTTACGTGTATACTGATCAGAAAGTCGCAATCTGGTCGTAACGGCTCGCAAGGTCGCGGGGCAGTACCCCACTCTGACCACCATCCCGACAATTTTTTAGCCTGGTGGGCAAACTTCGGTGTCGGGAAACTGTGGGAACGCCATCTAAGAAAAACCCTGATGGAAAAGAATTTTCCCAAGGGGTCACACTGATAATCAGGGAATTTGAAGGTGCAGGTCTGTTAATAAGGGTTGCTAAGAACAAAAAATTAGCCCTACTCCTCCTCCTCCATGCTCTTGATAGCTTGCAACATTGCAGCCAAGTTATTGGGATACGACGTCCCACTTCGCATCCCCTCTGCTTTCTCATCGACCTTGACCGCAGCACTCAGCACCTCCTTCCCCACCACCTCGTGCCTGATTCCCTGCAGCTCTTTGGCAATGGTGGCCATGCTGGGCCGGCTTGCAGTGCGCTGCACAGTGCAGCGCAGAGCCAGCTGGGCCAGGCGCAGCACAGCATCATCCGGGGCGTCCATGTCCTGGTCCTTGAGGAGGGTGGTTTTTTGGACGAAACGCAATCCTCCACCTGACGGGTTGAACAAGGGGGGTGGGGATGGCGGCGGGACATGGAATGACGCAGCACAGCATCATCCGGGGCGTCCAGGCTGAGGTCTGGTCAGATTGAGTTGAGAAACAAGAGGCAGGGTGGGTTGTTGGAGGATGAGTTGAGCAACAAGAGGGCACAGTTAAGGCATGCCTACACCTGAGGTGCATAGACGTAGACCTGTGTCGTACATCCTGCCATCATGCCATCTTGCCATCATGCCATCTTGCTATCATGCCATCCTGCCATCATGCCATCTTGCTATTATGCCATCCTGCCATCATGCCATCCTGCCATCATGCCATCTTGCTATCATGCCATCCTGCCATCATGCCATCTTGCTATTATGCCATCCTGCCATCATGCCATCCTGCCATCATGCCATCTTGCTATCATGCCATCCTGCCATCATGCCATCCTGCCATCATGCCATCCTGCCATCATGCCACCCTGCCATCATGCCATCCTGCCACCATGCCATCCTGCCATCATGCCATCCTGCCATCATGCCATCCTGCCATCATGCCATCCTGCCATCATGCCATCCTGCCATCATGCCATCCTGCCATCATGCCATCCTGCCATCATGCCACCCTGCCATCATGCCATCTTGCCATCATGCCATCCTGCCATCATGCCATCATGCCATCATGCCATCCTGCCATCATGCCATCTTGCAAGCCATCTTGCCAGCAAGCCATCGTGCGATCATGTCATCGTGCGACCAACTTGTTTGCCTAAGAGCAGCAACTTCTGGGCTTTATGGGGGCGATTTGAGTATTTTACACAATAGCCTTGTTGTTGCATGCTCGCCACCAAGCAAAACACCCACCAATTGCAGGATGTGGCCGTGCAAGCTAACGACAAAGCCAAATTGAAAGTCACTAAGTGTGCCGCACATGAATCAGCAATGCGCACTTGAAGCAGCAATGCGCACATGAAGCAGCAGTGCGCACATGAAGCAGCAGTGCGCACATGAAGCAGCAGTGCGCACATGAAGCAGCAGTGCGCACATCGTGGCTATTAGTGCCACCAACATCGGCAGAGTGCTGCTTGAACCAACCGCACTTGCCACAGTGACATCCCCACATATACGCAACACAACATACCCCACTGCACCGCACACAAAGCAGCTGCACCTACCCATCGCAGAATGTGCCCGTTCTTTTCACCCTCGGAAGAGCGGGGGCTGCGACCGGTGATCACCACAAGCATGAGCACACCGAAGCTGCACACACAAAGAAGGGGAGAGGGTGGCAAGCAACGCACAAAGATCTGCCACATTGCGTGTGCTTCACCATCCTTATATGATGACATACTCCACGAGCATGAGCAAAGCAACGCACCCAGTGAGCACAATGAGCACAAGCATGAACAAAATATCAGGTATTGACCTTTGATTAAATCGGTTTAGGCAAATATTAGCTGCCTCACAAAGAGAGCTTTTGTTTAACACTTGAGAAAAACTACACCTGCTCATAGTCCTATTTCACCTGATGGCAACAGTACCTCACCGGTAGAGATCAGTGGCAGTGGTGGCCTTTGACCAGTACACATCGGTGGCAGTGGTGGCCTTGGACGTGCGTGAGTAGATGGGATCCACATAGCCTGTTGTCCCCATCACCCGAGTCGTGCCCACAGTGGTGCCCTCGCCCACCCTCAACAGCCCAAAGTCACCGATCTTAGCCTGATGGATGATGTATGATTGAAACAGGGACAATCATGCTAGAGAGTTGAATTGATTTGTAC